GTATTGTTGGTGGCGACGCAAAGCAGTGAGCGAAGAGTGTAACGCATCTGGGAGGACTGTTTCTCATTTATAGGTCGGCAGACCTATAGTCCTCAGTGTTAGAGATATAGCTTTCCATAGCGTACCGTTTGAGCGCTCCACTTGACCGTTACCTTGCGAGTTGTAAGCAGTTGTGTGACTAGTTGCTACACTTTTATTACGCAGAAATCGAACGAGCTCTGTGGACATAGAAGAACCGCGATCCGAGTGCACAAAAGCAGGCATGCCAGAAATAGCAAATGATTGACAAAGATAGTTGCTGACAGTAGATGAAAGCATGTCCGAACATGCAAAAGCAGGCGAGAATCGAGAATATTCATCAATGATACCCAAAATATACCACTTCCGAGAAGTAGAATGCAAAGGTCCTTTGAAATCGATGCTTAGTCTGTCAAATGGCTGTGTAGCTTTCATCAGATTGCAGAAAGATGGCTTGAAAAAGTGGGGTTTTAGATATTGCACTTTACGATCATGCTCTTGATTTCTTCGACTGAATACGGGAGATTGCGCATGCGTACAAAATGCACCATTCGCGTTATTCCGGGTTGACATAATGAATCTTGCAGTTTTATGTTGTTAAAATAGGAAGCACAAGTACTGCGGGACATAGTATCAGCGACTTGATTATCTTTTCCGGGTCTGTAGATTATATCGTAGGGAAAGGCGGATAATTCTAGTCGTCACCTCCGGATTTTATCGTTTTTCATTTAATTTGTCTGTCGTCGGTCATACATGCGGAACGTTGATCGTTGATGCGTTTGAAGTGGATGCCAAGAAGATAGTGCCTCCACTTGCGTAGGGCTTCCACGATTGCGCACGCCTCCTTCTCTACAGCAGATTTATGTTTCTCGTTAGGAGTCAGAGTGCGCGAGAAAAAGGCAACCGGTCGATTATTCTGATTAAGTGAGGCGGCTATTGCGACATCCGATGCGTCCGTCTCAACAACCAGCGGAAGATTGTAGTCTACAGCAACAATCATAGCGTTGCTCCGCAAGAGCAGAGCTTCATGCAACAGAGCGCATCACCAGGTCGCGGATAGAGGAACGGACGCTAACTGGCGGATAACTGTGAATAAGGTCGGTTTATTCTCACTGAATAAGCGGTCTCGGATGATCAGTGGCAGTGCTCGAGGATGTGGTGGGTTTACCACTTGGCATGTTTCTCCACACAAAACGCCACATATATCTTATGACACCGCTGTGACGTGGGAAGTGTGGCCCGCCACCACGGCCATTGTCCGCTTGTCGAATTTCATCAACCCGACAAGGTCTTCCAGAGAAGGCGAATGAATCAACCGGCCGGTCACCGGCTTATTTGGAACAATACTGCTGCCCTGTAGCTCGCACTTGGCTGCGTAAACGCTAAAGTGCATCCTCGAACAAGACCTACTATGGACTGGGAGACCGAATAGTACAACAGCCCACAATGCAAACAGTGAAATTCAGCTTAAGCAATAATTCGTTCTTTAAGCTTTCCTCACTGATGAAAAAACGCTTTACGCCGTACACATCTTCCTTTTTTTCAGTTTTTCCTTCACCTCACGTTCATCCCCCTCAAACGTTCCCACTATTATCAACATCTTCAGGCAATCGTACTACCAGTTGTACCTTCGATCGAAATTCCGTCCCTATTCTCTCGCGTCCTGCCTCGAATAGTGTCCAATTCTCACCGAATCTTCCTTCGTCAGTTGACGTTCTTCTTCCTCCTCGATGCCCATTCAAACTAGCCACATTTAACGTGCCTACATTGATGCGTATAGGACAACAGGCGTGTTTAGTTCGTACCCTCGAGACCTTAGCCATCAATGTGTGTTGTATCCAAGACACTCGCATTCAAGACTCTAGCTCTGCCATCTGATTGACGTCCCCGTCCCCGTAAAGTGTCACCTGCGTCTTTCTGGGGACCCTGAGGCTGCGGCTTCTGGTCTTGCTGATGTTGGCGTAGCTCTCAGTGAGAGAGCTGAAACCGCGCTCCTGGATTGGATCCCAGTCAACAGAAGGTTTTGTGCAAAGTGAACAGTCGTCGCTCCGAAAGACGCAACTTGTTTGTCGTCTCAGCGTACGCACCTACGGACTGTAGCCCAAATACAGTTAAATATACTTTCTACCAAAAGCTACACGACCTCTTGCGTAAGGCAAATCGGGTTGATATCGTGATTTTAGCCGAAAATATGAATGCTAGAGTTGGCCGACTGAATTCGAGTGAAGCGCATCTGTGCGGTCCTTTCGGACTAGATTCCTGTCGCTCGAAAAACGGGGAACGGCTGTTGGCTCTATGTTCTGACCACCGCCTATTCCTCGCCAGTACGAATTTCAGACACTCCAATTGCCGATACGCCACTTGGAGTCCACTCTCCTCGAGTCAGCGACAAACACTGAAAGACCACCTCGCTATAAGCTACAAATGGTGGGGTTGAATACAAGACTGCCGATGGTGCAGGAGCACTACTCTCGAATCCGATCATGCGTTAGTTTGCAACAAACTATCCATGTGCTTCGCTGGGTGTCCTAAACGTTCGACACATCGGCGGTTAGACTGCGATAGGTTGTCTTAACCAGCATGCTCTAGCTGAAAAGCTAGGACCAATCCCACCTGATAACATCAGTGAGCACTAGTCGCTTATCAAGAATGCTGTGCACTCTGCTGGCTTAGTTAGTTGTGGTCTGACACGCCGTATCGTGATACCCTGGATTTCCGCTGAGTCTCTGCGCCTTCTTGACGCACGTCGGTCACTTTCGACAGGCAGCGAGCCTAACATACCACGGCTTGTAATGAGACGTGAACTTAACGTAGGCCTCCGCAGAGATTGCGAGGTCTGGTGGTCTCAACGCGCATCAGAAATGGAACGTGCTGCCGCCATGGGAAATTCCCATAAGCTGTTCCATCTCATTTGAGTTACCCGTAGGAAAGCCTTGGGTGTGAGCGAGACGATCCATGAAGCTGACGGCTCGCTTATTCACTATCAACAGCGACATCTTGAACGCTGGGCGGAGCACTTCAAAGCATAGCTTAGCTGGCCACCCGCGTCAGCTTCTCACACAACTATTCCGGCACATGTCTCATGGTCTGTATGAACAGAACCAGCTTCTGAGGTCGAAATCTTCAAGGAAGTCCAAGCTTTGGGACGTCACAATGTGCCGAGCTCCGACGGCCTTCCCTCAGCTCTATTTAAAGATGTTGAACTAAAGCATGTTAGAGAACTCCAAGTGATGTTCTCTAAAGTTTGGAACAGTGAGCAGGTCCTCTCTTAGTGGAGGGAATCGATTATCGTCCCCATCTTCAAAAAAGGACCGGCAATGAATGCGACAATCATAGGGATATAGGTCTGATCCCAATAGCGTCAAAGCTGTTAGCGTCCGTCATTCTTCGTAGATTGTACAAAACGCGTGAGGAAAATGCCCGCGTGAAGCAGGCCGGGTTTCGTGCCGGTCGTGGCTGAATCGATCAAATCTTCGCCCTCTGACAGTTGCTTGAGTACCGTCATGCTTACCATAGATCAACGATCATTATGTTCTTGGACATTCGCGAAGCCTTCGATTCTGTGATAGGACCGCTTTATGAAGCTGTTTATTGAGGAATGGAGTACCAGAGACGTATGTGTTGATCCTCAAAGAGTTTTATCGCCATATCTCAAGTTGTATCAGGGCTGATGGCCAGTTTTCACCACCCTTCACCGTTTCCAGTGGATTTCGACAAGGTTGTCCTATATCCTCCTTCCTTTTCAACTTCGCCATAGAGGATGTTCTGCAGGATGCTTTGTCCGGTTTAGCAAACGGGAGACTTGAACTCCTTTCAGGGAACCGAGTTCGCCAACCTGCGACACCTGTGGCACCGCCATGACATCCGACTGTCCCTTAAGGGTAGGGTGTAATTCGCTGCGGTTCGTAGCGTTTTGCTTTACGGTCGCGAAATCTGGCCTCTCCGCGCCGAGGATGCTAATCGACTCTCTGTATTCGACCACCGATGTCTCCGAAGCATTGCTCGTATCTGGTCGGAACATCAGGTGAGTAATGACGAAATTCGTCGTCGTGTGCTGGGTACTGAGAGTCATTCTCTAACGGAAGAAATCATTCTACACCGCCTCCGATGGCTCGGTCATGTTTTGCGTATGCCTGACGATCGACTATCCGGCCGTAATCTCTTTGCACGTGCTGGGCAAGGTTGGAAAAAGCTTCGCGGAAGACTATTTGGTTAAACAATCCGGCAAAGCCGTTCGAACGAGAGTTCACTTGGTCCTAGTGTAACACTTTGCCAGGTTCCATAACCCGGTGAGTAACAATGGATGTTTTTCCCCAGACACCGGTCCAGCTATATCCGAAAGTTTGATGGACAGAGGAAAAGACAACGCTCCAAATCAAACGATCAGCTGTTCGGGCACCTGATGGAATTCGTCTTCGATCATCCTCGTCCGTCCCCCCGGGAAAATTGATTGGGGCTGCAAAAATCACACAACATAGAAACAGAGGCAGGATACACGGGACTTCACCTGGGCAGTGCAGCAATTATTCGTGTCTCAGTGCACTGCTGCCACTTTTGGAGTTCGCTGAACGTGCCCCAAACAAAGAGGTGCTGCTGTTCGGCTCACGTTCCGTTGAGTGATGTTTGTTGAAGCAGGCAAATTTGAAGTGAAAGGGACCTGTGGTCAAACTATGGCTGTATTCGGCGTACTTGATTACAAAGCTCCTCATTGATGACCCCGGGATGAACCGATTTAATGACTACAGATAGATGGACTGATTGGTATAACTATGACAAAACAAGCGGTATTCGCGAGGATCTGCCAGGTTTCTGCACATATCTAGTCTACTCTCGGTTTCTGTCCAAAACAACGGCATTAGGTGGGTTCATATTTTAAGTCCCAGGCTTTCAGCCCGAAGAAGCGAACAATAGATCTTCGTTGACCCTAACTGTAATTCCTCAGACAAATGTACAATGAAAAAAATTGGCCATCATGGTACTGGTTACAGCTTTTTCTGATTTCGTTGAGTTGTACTTGTTTCCTTGATCACAAATAGGAAATTCATTGAAACAAAACAAAACAAAACTGACTTGGGTTCCGTGCTCCGTGGTGTGGATATCTGTTGGGCCAGACATTCGACCAAATTCGGGGACATAGTCAAGCATTCGAGCACCATGGATACAACACGCGGATGATGCTCAATAAGGATGCGCTGATTCTCACCACAATCGGTCGTGAGCAAATTGGTGACATTGAGCAAAGCTAACAATCGATCGGTATAGTCATTCCCGTCCCCGGTGCTGAGCGTTGCTAGTTGGGTGATTGGCTGTTCCGGTCCATTCATCACCCCGTTCGGGGTTTGTGCGGGGGGAACAAAGTAGCGGTATATGGCCTGACAGCGAACAGAGAGAGAGAGATCGTGCATGAATAAGTGAGAAGAAATTGTGAGTGGTTGAGTGATCAACGAGCAGTGACAAGCGGAACAGCGAGAAATATGAAATCGGTCGGGCGGTGGTGGTGGTCAAGTAGTTATTGTCATGTGAACAGCTACCCGTAAGTCCCTAGTTCGAATCTGATCGCGGTCGCCCAACCCACCGATTTCTCTGTTTCCTCTGACAGCCTTTGTTTATCCATAGCCTCGTTTCTGAAAATTAATAATATATTTGCTTACTTAATATATAGCAAGAAGCGAAAAAATCAGTGTGGCTAGTATTACTCCATTTTTCATATAAAGTATAAGCAAAGATATGAGAATAAACGATGGGTGACATGAAAGGTCATTTATTCATTAAGACCTTTGTGTGATGAATCGCGGGAAAACGATCGAACTATGCGATTGATCAGAAANAATGAAGCACCGTCAACCACTGGACGATTTACAGATTCAATTGAACGATGAACAGCTCAGTTTGAACCCTGGTACTGACTAACACATCAGTATTACACTGAGTGACCCGAGTGTTTGTTCACTCCAACTCCCCGGGGTCGAAATGACTGACCTCCTGGATGTATCTTAACACACACCAACCACAATGTGAATATATATATGTATTATGATAAGTAGTATATGAATGACTTGACAAAAAATCCAGGGAAGCACACGACCGGTGTATGAATAAAATGACAAAAGATTGCCGGGTACGCAGGCTTGACGAGCGGCAAGAATCGCGAAACCGATTGTGTGCTTCCAGGGAAATTTCGTACGGTCATTCATATACTATGAAATATATATAAATATACATATTCCTTGGCACGTCCAAGAGACAATTCAAAATAAAGTTATCTCGAAGAATCATTGCAATGATTTCGTGAACAAACAGGGCTCAGGGAATAGGAAAACAGGGGGTTTTGTGAATCCACAAAGTGAACAAACCTGGATCTCCTTGCCCAGTAAAGAGAATCCATTTTTCACTCGGAAGAGAGACTGCAAATCGGATAGAGCTTCAACAGCGGGTTTCGGATGATCCGGAATCGGCTTTGTTTGTTGTTGTTGGCGCTGTGGCTGCCTGGCACAATTCGTCCGTTGCTGTTTCTTCTTCTTCTTCTGTCGTCTATTGTTCGCCGAGGACATGGAATCCCGAGTCGTTGGAACAGCAGCAGTAGTGGCAACACCTACAGACGGATCTGGTTCCAGTTTAGATTCGTTCGTGTAACAGACTGGGACGGGGGATTTTGTACAGCTAACGCCGATTGTGTTGTTGCGACCACTGGTGGTGGCGACTGCAATGAGGTAGAAGGTGGATGCTCGGACGGGGATGACGCGGACAATTCACGCGGAGCGGCAGCCAACAGTCGTGAAAGTTGGCGCAATCCGGCGCTATAGTAATTTGCATCCAAATTCCCTCGAGCCAATTGAGCCAAAAGGCATACCAATTGTTGTCTGATATAAAATGAAGGCGAGGAGGAGCACACATTTAACATTTTAATTAGACCGTATTGATCATTGCTGATAACACGCATGTCGTACATGTGAGTGAAATGGATT